CAATAGTTAAATGGTTAGGTCATTGACCAAATATTTATAAAATCTTAATGGTGCGGGCGTTGACTATATGGTTACAATAGTTAAATGGTAAAGCCATTGACTACACGGTTCAAGCGGTTATTGGTGAGGGCCTTGACTACGTGGTTACAAAGTTATATGGTGAAGGCATTGACTTCATGGTTAAAAAGTGAAATGGTGAGGGCATTGACTACCTGGTTACAAAGTTGAATGGTGAGGGCATTGACTTCATAGTTACGAACTTAAATGGAGAGGGCATTGACTATATGGTTACAATAGTTAAATAGTGAGGACATTGACTAAAAGGTAACAAAAGTTTAATGGTGCGGGCGTTGACTATATGGTAACAATTGTTAAATGGTGAGCGCATTGACTATATGGTCACAAACGTAAATGGTGAGGGCTTTGACTACATAATTATAAAAGTTAAATAGATAGGGCATTTACTACACGGTTCAAACTTTAAATGGTAAGGGCAATGACTCTATGGTGACCCAGTTGAATGGCGAAAGCATTGACTATAAGTTTAAAAAGTTAAATGGCGAGGGCATTGCCTACCTGGTTACAAATTTCAATGATGAAGGAATTGACTAATCCGGTTACAAATTTCAATGATGAAGGAATTGACTAATCCGGTTACCAATTTCAATGGTGAGGGCATTGACTACCTGGTTACAAACTTTAAATGGTATGGCATTGCCTCTATGGTTACAATAGTTAAATGTAGAAAGCATTGCCTACAAGGTTAAAGCGGTGAATGGTGAGAGTATTGACTACATGGTTAAAACGTTAAATGGTTAGGGCATTGACTACACGGTTCAAGCGGTGAATGGCGAGGGCATTGCCTACCTGGTTACAACTTTCAATGATGAGGGCATTGACTAATCTGGTTACCAATTTCAATGGTGAGGGTATTGACTACCTGGTTACAAACTTAAAATAATAGGGCATTGACTCTATGGTGACAATAGTTAAATGGTTAGGGCAATGACTCAATAGTTACAAAAGATTAATGGTGCGGGCGTTGACTATATGGTTACAATAGTTAAATGTAGAAGGCATTGACTACACGGTTCAAGCGGTGAATGGTGAGAGTATTGACTACATGGTTACAAAGTTATATAGTGAAGGCATTGACTTCATGGTTACAAAGTTATATGGTGAAGGCATTGACCTCATGGTTAAAACGTTAAATGGTGAGGGCATTGACTAAATGGTAATACAAGTTATATGCTACAGGGATTGACTTCATGGTTAAAAAGTAAAATGGTGAGGGCATTGACTACTTGTTTACAAAGTTAAATCGGGAAGGCATTGACTATATGGTTTTAAAAGTTAAATTGTGAGGACATTGACTATATGGGCACAAACGATAATGATGAGGGCATTGACTTGGTAGTTACAGAATTTAATGGATAGGGTATTGACTACACGGTTCAAACTTTAAATGGTAAGGGCATTGACTCTATGGTGACACTGTTGAATGGTGAAAGCATTGACTATAAGTTTAAAAAGTTAAATGGCGAGGGCATTGACTACCTGGTTACAACTTTCAAAGATGAGGGCATTGACTTATCTGGTTACAAAGTTAAAACGTGAGGTTCTTGACTATATGGTTACAAAGTTTAATAGTGAGAGCATTGATTACTTTGTTACAAATTTAAATGGGGAAGCAATTGGCTATATGGTTACAAAAGTTAAATGGTGAGGGCATTGACTTCACGGTTCGAACTTTGAATGGTGAGGGCAATGACTATATGGTGACACAATTGAATGGTGAAAGCATTTACTATAAGTTTAAAAAGCTAAATAGCGAGGGCATTGATTATATGGTTACAAATTTCAATGATAAGGGCATTGATTATCTGTTTACAAATTTCAATGGAGAGGGCATTGACTACATGGTTACAGAGATTAATAGTGAGGCCATTGACGACTTTGTTACAAATTTAAATGGGGAGGGCATTTGCTTTATCGTTGCAAAAGTTAAATGGGGAGGGCATTGACTACATGGTAATACAGTTAAATGGTGATGGCATTGGATACCTGGTTTGAGAGTTTAATTATGCGGGCATTGAATAAATGGTTACAAAAGTTTAATGGTGCGGACATTGAATTCATGGTTAAAAAGATAAATGGTGAGGGCATTGGCTACATAGTTGCGAAGTTAAATTTAGAAGGCATTGACTACACGCTTCAAACGGTGACTGGGGAGCGCATTTACTACATGGTTAGAAAGTGATATGGCGAAGGCATTGACTTCATGATAATTAATTTCAATGATGAGGGCATTGACTACCTCGTTACAAATTTCAATGATGAGGGCATTGAATACATAGTTACAAAAGTTAAATGGCAAGGAGAGAACATTGACCAAAGGGTTACAAAAGTTTAATAGTGAGGGCATTGACGACTTTGTTATAAAGCTGAATGGAAAAGCATTGACTATATGGTTCAAACTTCAAATGGTGAAGGCATTGACTCTATGGTGACACAGTTGAATGATGAAAGCATTGACTATAAGTTTAAAATGTTAAACGACGAGGTCATTGACTATATGGTTACAAATTTCAATGATAAAGGCATTGATTACGAGGTGACAAATTTCAATGGAGAGGGCATTGACGACTTTGTTACAAAGATAAATCGTGAGGGCATATACTAAATGGTTACAAAAGTTAAATGGTTAATGCGGGGTAGCAAAGTGAAATGGTTACGACATTGGCTTCCTTGTTACAAAAGTAAAATGGTTGGGGCATTGACTATATAGTTACAAAGTTAAAAGGTGATGGCATTGACTACAAAGTTACAAAGTTAAAGGGTGATGGCTTTGACTACATGGGCACAAACGTAAATGGTGAGGGTATTGACTAAACGGTTTAAACTTTAAGTGGTAAGGGCATTGACTCGATAATGACACATTTGAATGGTGAAAGCATTGACTATATGTTGAAAAAGTTAAATGCCGAGGGCATTGACTACCTGGTTAAAAATGTCAATGATGAGGGCATTGACTACCTGGTTACAAATGTGTATGGTGAGGGCATTGACTACCTGGTTTCAAAGTTAAAACGTGAGGGCATTGACTATATGGTTACACAGTTTAATAGTGAGGGCATTGACTACTTTGTTACAAAGTTAAATGGGGAAGGCATTGGCTTTATGGTTAGAAAAGTTAAATGGTAAGGGGATTAAAAACCTGGTTACAAAAGTTAAATGAATAGGGCATTGACTATATGGTTACAATAGTTAAATGGTGAAGGCATTGACCAAAGGGTTTCAATAGTTTAATGGTGCGGGCGTTGACTAAATGGTTACAATAGTTTAATGGTCCGGGCGTTGATTGTATGGTTCCAAAGTTAAAAGGTTAAGGCATTGACAACATGGTTAAACAAGTTAAATTGTGAGAGCATTGACTATATGGTCACAAACGTAAATGGTGAGGGCTTTGACTACGTAGTTATAAAAGTTAAATGGATAGGCCATTTACTACACGGTTCAAACTTTAAATGGTGAGGGCATTGACTCTATGGTGACACAGTTGAATTGTGAAAGCATTGACTATAAGTTAAAAAAAAAGTTAAATGGCGAGGCCATTGACTACCTGGTTACACATTCCAATAGAGAGGGCATTGACTACCTGGTTACAAAGTTTAATAGTGAGGGCATTGACGATTTTGTTACAAAGTTAAATGGGAAGGGCATTGACTTTATGGTTACAAAAATTAAAAGGTGAGGGCATTGACTACATAGTTATGGAGTTAAATTTTATGAGTATTGACAATATGGTTACAATAGTTAAATGGTCAGGGCATTGAATAATGGGTTACAAAAATGTAATGGTGCAGGCGTTGACTATATGGTTGCAATAGTTAAATGGTGAGGGCATTGACTACATGGTAACACAGTTAAATGGGGAGGGCACTGACTATATAATTACAAAAGTTAAATGGTGAGGGCATTGACTGCATGGTAACACAGTTAAATGGTTAGGACATTGGCTTCCTTGTTACAAAAGTTAAATTGTGGGCTTATTGACTACATAGTTACACAGTTAAATGGGGTACGGCATTCACTATATGTTTACAAAAAATAAACGGTGATGGCATTGCCTACGTGTACAAAAGTTAAAAGGTGAAGGCATTTACAACCTAGTTACAAAAGTTAAATGGTGAGGGCATTAACTACATGGTTACAAAGTTAAATGGGTAGCGTATTGACTACATGGTTACAAAGTTAAACGATGATGCCATTGATTAAGTTATTTGATTTTTAAAAGCGATGACTTTGATTACGTGGCAACAAAGTTTAATGGTGATGACATTTACTACGTTGTTTCAAAGGTTAATTGTGAGGGCATTGATTACGTTGTTTCAAAGGTTAATTGTGAGGGCATTGATTACGTTGTTTCAAAGGTTAATGGTGAGGTCATTGATTATGTGGTTACAAAGGTTGATGGTGAGGGCATTGATTACGTTGTTTCAAAGGTTAATGTTGAGGGCATTGATAATGTGGTTACAAAGTTTAATGGTCAGGGCAATGACAACGTGTTTACAATTAAACGATGATGTCATTGATTAAGTGATTTGATATTTTAAAAGCGATGACATTGATAACGTGGCAACAAAGTTTAATGGTGACGGCATTGATTACGTTGTTTCAAAGTTTAATGGTGAGGACATTGACTGTGTGGTTACAACGTTTAAAGTTGAGGGCATTGACAACGTAGTTTAGTACGTTATTACAAAACTGTAACGATAAGGTCATTGAGGACGTAGTTACAAAACTGTGAGGATAATTAACGGACACGTAACGGCGAGAACGTTGACTGCGTCATGACGAAACTGTAACGGCGAGGGCATCGCATACTTACCTGTAGTTTCAAACGTACATGTAGGGATATTACGTACACTATGCTATTGTTACCTTGTTCGCCACAAATGTTAAAAAATATTGTATTTCTTATTCATTTCTTTATTCAGATAAGAAAATGGATTAAACAGAACAACAGAACTCGACAAAATGGGTATGTATGTTTTCCTTGTTACATTTGTATATCTGTATGTGACAGTGTTGCAGTTCATTTACCTATATTATTTAAAATCGTATGTGTCATTTATGTTTTTATATTTATATTTCCATTCAAAATAAGGAATACGTAATCGAGTGATACGTAAACGAATTGATGTTAAGAAATCAGTTAACACAGTTGAGGATTTTCAGGCCATCTAGATAGAAAATTTGAGGGAAAATGTTATATCTCAGAATATTTGAGTTGAGAATGTTCAGTAATTTGAGACGCTCTTGATAGTATGGCGTGACGCTTTTGAAAATTGGGAATGTTTTTTTTTTATTGTGGGGAATTGGCGTTTTTTATAGTTGGACGTGTGACGTTTTTTGTATTAGGGCAGGACTTTTTTGATAGTGGGGCGTGTGACTTTTTTATGGTTTGGTAGGGCGTTTTAGACGTTTTTGATTTAGGAGTGTATCGATTTTGATAGTTAGGCGTGACGATTTTGATAGTGGGCGTGACATTTTTTATATTCAGGCTTGACGTTTTTGATAGTGGGGCGTGACGTTTTTGATATTGGGGCGTGACGATTTTGATAGTAGGGCTTGACGTTTTTGATATTGGGACGTGGCGAATTTTACACATTTCTAGTTTAAAGATTTAACAGAGATGAATTCTATCACTCTATTACTGTAAATGTTTCCTTTATTAACCCCGTTGTGTTGGGGCATCGAATACTAACTGCAAACTTGTTGGGTTTTATACTCCAAAATCTTATATTTATTTATTGTTTACATAAAATAGAATAGTTAAAACAAATAGCAGAAGTTCTGAAAAGGTAGGTAAGTTTGCCTAGATGTCATTAGGGTTGTATTGTAGTATCTCCCTTATGTTTTGTTTAAAAAACCCATTTTACTGAAATGTTTCATATGTGTTATGTTTATAGAGACATTTTACTGTAGTGTCTCAAATGTGTCATTTTTATAGAGACGTTTTACTGTAGTGTCTCACATGTGTTATATTTATAGATATATTTTACTATAGTGTATCACATGTGTTATGTTTATAGAGACGTTTTACTGTAGTGTCTCACATGTGTCATGTTCATAGGGACATTTTACTAAAGTGTCGGACATGTGTCATGTTTATAGAGACATTTTGCTGGAGTGTCTCACATGTGTTATGTTTATAGAGACATTTTATTGAAGTGTCTCACATGTGTTATGTTAATAGGGACATTTTATTAAAGTGTCGGACATGTGTCATGTTTATAGAGCTGTTTTACTAAAGTGTCGAACATGTGTCATGTTTATAGATACATTTTACTTAAGTGTCGAACATGTGTCATGTTGATATAGACGTTTTATCAAAGTGTCTCACATGTGTTATGTTCATAGGGACATTTTACGAAAGTGTCGAACATGTGTCATGTTTATAGAGACGTTTTACTAAAGTGTCGAACATGTGTCATGTTTATAGATACATTTTACTTAAGTGTCGAACATGTGTCATGTTGATATAGACGTTTTATCAAAGTGTCTCACATGTGTTATGTTCATAGGGACATTTTACGAAAGTGTCGAACATGTGTCATGTTTATAGAGACGTTTTACTAAAGTGTTTTACACATGTCATGTTTATAGAGACATTTTATTGAAGTATGTTTTGGTTTTAGAAACATTTTATTGATGTCTCACATGTATATAGGGATATTTCACTGAAGTGTCTCATATGTGTCATGTTTATTGATACATTTTACTGTAGTGTCTCACACTTGTAATATTTATAGAAACATTTTAGGGAAATGTCTCACGTATATTTTGTTTTTAGACATCTTTATCAGGAATAGACGGACATGATAGCTTACGTTGAAGGGTTTTGTGATGTTATTGTCAGGATTAGAAGGAAATGGTAGCTTACATTGAAGGGTTTTGTGATGTTATTGTCAGGAATAGACGTAAATGGTAGCTTACGTTGAAGGGTTTTGTGATGTTATTGTCAGGAATAGAAGGAAATGGTAGTGAATATTGAAGATGTTTTCTTTCCTGGAACAGTGCACTTCTGTCATTGTATTTGACGCGAGAATTCGACTTTCACTCCTTTTATTGTTTGTGTCGAAGTAATTGAAAGGGTTGTGTATAGGGAGTCCTTGTGGTTTTCAATCCTGGAGTTTGTGCCATTATGAATTCTGGCGTCTGTGCCTTTACAAATGGGGGCGTGCCGTATGAGCGTTTGGGTGAGGAGGTGCTCAGTGATATCGATGGTTGAGTTAGGAAATCTCTCGCAACACAGAGCCTAGCAAACTGGCCAATATGTTCACACTTGAAAACTGGGAAGATAATGCTGGGCGTATCCTGAGATTGCCAGTCTAGAATGTAAGGCTGCATCGGATGTAATTCCTGTCGGAGGTAGTACCCAGCTGCTTCGTCCGGTACCAGTATTGTTCCAGAAACGTTGAGGAGTTTAACGAGACAATTCAATAGCTCTATGTCAAAACATGGTCATCAAAGAAACATCAGCTTTCTGTGTTGATGAGTGTTAGATGTGGGGCTATCTCGCGTGGCAGTTGAGGTATCGGGAAAGGCTACCCAGCTAAAAAGTGGGTACTGCCCGGATTCTCCACCAACCATAACAACATTCTGCATTATTTAGAGTACTTGAAGACGTTGAAATTTTGAAGAGGACCTCGGTCAATCTCCCGCCATTTTCTTTGTCTGAAATCGTCATTGTTTTTGAAAGAACTTATCGTGTTATTGCCACAATATATCATTCTATACTCCTACACCTGTGCACATCATGTCTACAGATCTGTCTACTAAAATCAAGAAGGGTGTTCAAGCCATAAGTGAACTACGAGACCCTATCATCATTAAACAAGTAGTGTCCCAGCTAATGGACAATGCACTTTTCAAAGATGCACTGCTAAGTTCTTTAGGAATAACAGCTCTACACCAGCAAATCAACACATTGGAGACACGGTTAGACAATATGGAGCAGTATTCTCGACGTAATTGTCTAAAATTCAGGGGCATCGCTGAACATCAAGAGGAAGATACTGACCAAATCATCATTGATACGTGTAACAACCAACTAGGGGTCATGGTCACCAGTGCCGATATTAGCCGGTCGCATCGTGTTGGACCGAAATCTTCACGTTACCCCAGGGATATAATTGTGCGGTTCCTATCATATAGAACTAGAGCGCAGGTTTATGATGGCAGGTTTATTCTTGTAAAAAATCCAGTAACAACAAATGGAAATAATAGCGAACAAACTACACCAAAACTCCCCTCCCCTTCCAAGCTCTACATAAATGAGGCTCTGACGAAAAGTAGAAGTGCAGTTTTCACCAAGGCACGCTTTCTCAAGTCAAGTAAGCTGATTTCCGGTACCTGGACCATGGATGGCCGAATAATTATCCGTGATAACAACGGCGAGAAGAAACATGTGACGAGTATTGACGAACTCTCTGACTACCCCGACCCCCCTCCTAATAGAGGTGTACGGACACTGGCCGATAAACAAGTCAATGCTCGTAGGTAGTCGTGGTTCTGTGAAGGTCGTCCCTCGTCTATACTGTGACAGAACATAATTGTCAAATACACTACCTTAAATGTTGTATTTAATTACTTGTATCATTCCATATTAACAAAAGAATTATGTTCATTTATCTTCTTAAAACTTACCTTTCTACGTGTTATACCGCTGCATAATGGTTCCTTTGCATGATGTCCAATAGTATATATAAACATGTATGTTTAATCATATTAACTCAAGTGTTGACTGACAAAGTCTTTATCGAGTGATACTATACAATCTTCTGTATACTTTGTTACAAGAATGTGTATTTGAAAAATAAACTTAGAAATACTCATCACAGGTAATACACTCATTTTATTAATAACAATATCCACACGCCCACTGTGTTATATACACACCGATATCTTCAACATCTAAGTGTCAATTTCCTTAGTAAAGTATCCAAGTTAATTTATTAATTTTCAGTAGAGTACACTCTCATCTATTTATACCAAAGTACTCTTAAAATAAATTATCCTTGTCATGTGTTGATACTATGATAATTAAACACCACTACATATATGTCAGTGTGACCACGGACTTAGCTGTCCAAGTCAGTGGTATATGTGTAACTCGTAAGCAGAATGTGTGTGGGTAACGGGTTGTTTCGCCCCAAATCCCGTTCGCCCTAAGGGTTGTTTCGCCCCAAATCCCGTTCGCCCAAGGTTGTTTCGCCCTAAAAAATTTTTTTTTAATCTTTAAGTCATAAATATCATGTTAAAAGTTAAAAAAATATCTTTCTCTTGAATCAAGATATAATTACGTGCCGGAAGGTGAAGAACGAACCTGTATATGCATCACCGAATCCTACAACGGAGATACTAATATCCGGAATATACTGTATATTATCGTTTTCATTTCTTTACCTTAATTAAGTAATGTTGTTCTTTATAAAATGCACCTGTATATATTTCAACGTTAAACATATTTAAAACATGATATAAACAATTAAAAAGCACCCTGTCACGTCAGCCATTTTATATCAAACAAATTTCTCTTAGTACATAGATACGTATACGAAATGGACATAGATTAGGTACAAATTGCGTATAAGAACAAAAAAAAATTACTTTAATTATATATATCTATGATATATAGATAAGATATGGATATTATGATATAATGAAACAAAATTAATTTCTCTAAGTACAATACTTATAATATATAGATAAGATATGGACATATAATGAAACTAAATTAATTTCTCTAAGTACAATACTTATAATATATAGATAAGATATGGACATATAATGAAACTAAATTAATTTCTCTAAGTACATAGATACGTATAGAAATGGACATAGATTAGTTACAAATTGCGTTTATAGACTGAAACTACATACGTATATTAATTGCGTATAAGGATGAAAAAAATAAATTCTTTCTCTAGAGACGTATACGAAATGTAAATAATTCCCCAAGTACATAGATACATA